AGAGGGAAGCTGATCATAATGGGCTAACCTTTTGCCTTCTGCAACTTAATTAATGGCGTGACTTTTGTCAGTGTAGGAGCTAAAATGGCTAGCCATCGTCAATATGGTGAAAGAAATATTAAATGCTTAACCATTATAGGTGAGTACTTACACAGGTTGCGAAAATAAACTCGGTTGTAAATTAACAACTCACTAATGGCAGACACGTACAAGGCTAGCAATATTCTCAGCTCTTCATTAGTCTTGCGTGATAGAATTGATCATAGATGAAGCCATTAAAAAAACTGATCGGTGAGTAATAAAAGGGTATGCTTAGCCTCAACATCAAGAATCAATGGTCAGTTACTTGCATTACTTGACTTCTATCCTGTTAGGTTGGTTGCCATTAATGTGCAACAACCATTTGCTATTGCACCAACCATGTGCACTCATCCAAGATGTCAAAGGTTGGCAGCCACCATTGTTGAAGAAGAGTTGGAGTTGACAGCCACCTTTGTTGAAGAAAAACCTCCATGAATGCCTATAAATAGAGGCATATGCAAGAGAGCAAAATGTGTGAAGAGAATTATGAAAATGTGAAGAGAGTAGAGAGGAAGAGAGAGCTGCAATGGCAGACACGTCAGCAGTTCTGCACAGTCATCAGACACGTCACCTGACACATCAGCACTCTGACCAGTCAAACTGCCACGTCAGATTTGGTTGACCTATATGTCCTACGTGGATGACACATCATTACAGCCACGTCAGCTCCCTGGATTTTGATCCTGTGTGGCGGAGTCTACGTGCAACCGGTTCTGAGATTGAATCTGGGCCGTTATCAGGCCAAAATTGTTTTGATCAAATCTTAGCCATCTGAAGTGCGATTTGGACGATTTCAGACTTGTTTCCAGCTAATTTGATCGTTCCGGATGTAATGGTACGGTCCGATCGTTGAAATTGAGATCATAAATGGCAGTGATGAATTATTAAAGAGAGATTGCCCGATCAGGAGGCATATGATGGTCATCATGGTGGTCGATGGAGCTGAAGAAGAAGAAATCACACATGTTTGCCCAATTACATGTGGTGAACTATCATGTGGGAAATTTTAATTGCCTTGAGGGAAGGCAAAATTGGGACACTCTAAACACCCGATCATGTGGACAATTTGAGGTGGAGAGTGAAATTTGATGAAGACCAATCTTGACGAATCTGAGCACTGGTAGTCTCGCCAGATGTTGAGAAATCAGGTATAAAACCAGGATACCCCAGATCACTTGTAAAGGAAAGCCACGACAAAGCTAGCAAATGGTTGTATATACGAAAAGACAGTACGATGGATAAATATGGCCTAAGAAGTTCTGTCTAGGAGATTGGGTTTTAAGCGGGACCGGTGTGACCCCTCCAATCTTTCCTGGGAACTTGCTTAGTGGAAGTATTATCCATACGATACTATTTTCATATATGTGACAGTTTGTTATGAAACTGTTGAAGACTAGCAGGATGACGGCACAAAGGAACAGTTGGGTTCCATATGATCAAGGATCTAATGGAGTGGTGATTTCTCCAAGAAAGTTAGATTCGGTGACTGTAATTTCTCGAGGGGAGAATTGATGAAGACCCTGATAATTGAAGAGAAATACAACAAAGGGATAAAGATTGGCACCCTATTTAAACTTGGATAGATGTTGTGACAGGATGAGCTGCTGTCAAACATAAGCAAGGAATAGGGAGAAATCTGGAGAACCAAAATTGCACGAGAGCACATGAAGATTGTGTAGGAGTACCCGGAGGATCCAACGAGGTACTATAATGAGACAACAGGTGCAAGGAGAAGAAGAGTTCCCAGATGAAGCTTAGAGCAGAGACTATGAAAAAGTTGTACAATAAAAAGTCTCTTGTGCTCTTGATAAAGGCAACAAGCGAGGACCTTTCAATGCATGCAAGGATGGAAGGATGAGCTATTGCAGATGCACCTAATTGAGGGGGTGCAAACGCCTGTGATAAAAGGCGACCGCCTATGATGAAAGGCGAAGACACCAAAGGGAGTTGGTGCGGGTGGAGCTGTTAAGCAGAAAAGGCCTAGAAACTCCAAACATAGAAATTGAGGTGGAGGATTGCGAGGAGTATACCGCAACTTTCTCTTTCTATGTAATTAGTGGCAAAGAATTTATGGAGCCATTTTGAAGCATCTTAGCTGAAGGAGGATGCGACTGCCTATAAAAGGCGAAGACACCTTAAAGAGAAGGTGTGAGGGCTATGAGATGAGCCCATGATCAGACCGCTGCATGACGACGAGCGGAGACACCTCAGGAGAAGGTGTGAGGGCCGTGGAAGGAGCCCAGTTCAGAACGCCCCAGAGCCAATGTGATGGCTAGGTATGAGTGGACAAATGGATAGCCAATAAAAGGGTTATGATGAGTATGGAGACAAATGCAGGATTGACTTTCATGGATATTGCCCCCATGCTAAAGATCAATGAGCTAGAAGACATTTGCCTTGGACAATAAGTGGATGACTTGTGGAGCATTAAGACGTGGCTGCTATGAAGGAGCAGAGGGCATGCGCAGGTTCCGAGAACAAGTTGACTCTTGTCAAGGTGGTGAGCTCGGTAATGACATTGTAATACTCAGAGTATGAAGACAGATATGGATCAACCTTTTATGGGCTGCCCCCATGGTTAAAGGTGGAAAGCTACCTGGACTCTTGAGACTAAGAGCGAGAGACTCATGGAGAAGTAAGGCGTGGTTCCTAGGGTGGAACAGAGGGCAGGCGTAACTCCTGGATGAGTAGACTCTTGGAAGAGTGGTGAGCTTGTGATCATATTGAGATACTCAGATAATGACTGTCGCACTTGAAATATCCGTTTGAGGGGATGTTGTAAGCCTTGATGTGAGGCTTGAGGAATCATTCTGGACTGAGTGTGGTTGATACGCTCGAAGGGGAATGTTGTTCCAGAGACAAGCGTTAACACTATTCAGATGTGATGTGGCAGACCATCTGGTTATAGTGATCCTTTTGTGTGAGAAAAGGTGTGCTTAGGTCACTCTGATGATTGAAAGGTTTGGCAAGTACCTGTAAACTTGGCTACAAAAGCTCTCAAAATGGAAAGCTTGGAAGAGCTGCAAGATGCAAGCTTGTGTTGAAGAAGAATGAGGACAGTTGCCCCACATGAATGGCAAAGGGGGTGATTGTTAGGTTGGTTGCCATTAATGTGCAACAACCATTTGCTATTGCACCAACCATGTGCACTCATCCAAGATGTCAAAGGTTGGCAGCCACCATTGTTGAAGAAGAGTTGGAGTTGGCAGCCACCTTTGTTGAAGAAAAGCCTCCATGAATGCCTATAAATAGAGGCATATGCAAGAGAGCAAAATGAGTGAAGAGAATTATGAAAATGTGAAGAGAGTAGAAAGGAAGAGAGAGCTGCAATGGCAGCAGCCTTGCTGCCATTGCAGCAACTGCAAGTGCAGCAAAGAGAGTTGAGAGTTGAGTATGAGAGGGTGTAATCCTCCTCCTCTATGTATTTGTTTTGTATTCTTTCTCTATCTCTAAATATATTGACTTCTCCCGTGGATGTAGGCGATTTTGCCGAACCACGTTAAATATTGTGTCAGTGTGCTTGGCCCTCCTATGAGCAAGTATTAGTACATCACCGGTCGGAATTCCCAACAAAATAATGCTGGAAAAACTAGGAACAACCGGACACTAATTTATCCAGATCAATTTAGTAAAATATAATTTACAATTCATAAATCTCAATTCTTTCTCTCTTTATGCAATAAAAACAGAATCAAATAATGACAAAAAATAATGCAATTAATCACAAAATCAATACCAAAATTTTTAACGTGGAAAACCCGATGTGAAAAAAACTATGGGATTATAGTCCATCTAAAAACTTTCATTATCAACAAATAATGAGTTCACAATCATTCTTTCTCAAATTCAACTAAGGAATAAAATATATATATCATCAAGAACAACTTATTCTCGGATTACAACAAGATTAAAAAAGAATTATTTGAGAAAAACTCACAATACTGACAATCCTGTTTTTTATCAAAACGATTAGCTTCCACATCACCAAACTTCGATCCAACCGTCCAGAATGAATAGTAACGTGTCTAGATGTTGTTATCAAACTCTCAACTCAATCCAACGGTGAATGAGTCGGAAATCAAAGAAAAAGCATAGGCTGCTCTGCTACCTCTTTTCTTTTTTTCTCTCTTAGTTTTTTTCTCCTCTCTTCCATTTTTCAAATCTACATCTACATCTTTTAATTTAAAGACAACTTACTAATTAATATGGTGGTCTCATCATTATATGGTGTGAGATCACACACAACAAATAAGAATTTAGAAAAAAAATCTGGAGGACTTGCATTACCGTATTACGAAGTGGTGTATATGGTGCAACTTTGCTTGATAAAAAACGAAACTATAGGTACCAATGCTTGAAACTTTTGTATAGAAAATATTTGATGGACATGTTTCATCCACATGAGATGATCCACCATGAAGATGATTTGTTGGACACTTCAAGGAGGTAATTCTGGATGTGCGTTTTCAGGAATACTATTTAAGACATTGAAAAAAATTTAGTGTGGTATAGGGAATGAGATCCTGGGTTTTAGTTTCAATAACCAATGGGGTGCTAATTTTCATAAATTTAATTATTGAAATAATAGTTATTATTACTGCATTGATCACTATTGTCATAAACCATGACAACTATGATAATCAATGAGATAGACAACTCGAAATTGAAGTTTCTAGTAGCAGATGATCAAAATGTAGTTCATCAGCACCAGCAGGGGTGTCTCCAAGCTTGCAAGTTAACATCCAGCAGATGAACTAATCCTAAATCCAGCAAGACTAAGACAACAACGCAAGAGACATTGCACAGCACAAAAACCTGAAATCTAATAGCATTCTAGAACAGAAGGATCTGGCCTGAAACCATCCTTTAAATGGCCAAAAAATCAGGTCCCTGGTGTTGATTAAACTGCACAATATATGTCACTTGTCTTCTGCCTCGTCATCTCCAGATTCAGTATATTCATGGTTTAAATCTAGACCAGCAAGTTTTGCACAGTTATCACTGACCATATCCACACCCTCATCTACTTCCACGCCCTCGTCCACATTCATGACTGCAGAAGAACTACTAGCTGGAGTGCTGAGAAGGGCCTTTTGCAGCCTGACTGCACTTGGAAACGTGAGGGTGTTCCAGTTGGTGATCTTTTGGCTAACAGCATCCTCAATGGGGGAAAACCCGCATTTCCCCTCCCACATCTCAGTGAGCTCCTGGACTGATGGGATGATTAGATGCTCAACTCCCATAACTGAAAAAATCTGGAAATTAAATCAGAAGTAACAACGTGATCAGATACTGAAAATTATAATATAAACAGAAGGCTTTAATGATCAGTACAAATTGAACCATATATTTTAGCAGTTGAGAGCATAACATCGCTACAATCTTAATTCTTAAATTGTAAATGACAGAAAAGAGAAGAGAGTACATCGGCTGAAAACTGCCTTTTCTCTGTGATTTGCCGAGGGTTGTAGCATAAAATAGCGTAATGGGCAGAATTGAGACCAACCTAGTTCGATCACATGGTTTTTCTCCATGATTTTCTTTTCTTTCTAAATGAGCACTTAAAAAATGAAACAGAAGTGAAAGTTCCAGGTTTTGACCGAACTTGCCATAATTTATGTGAAGCAGTCAGCAGAAATTACTTTTGGAAGCTCTTAATCAAGACGAATGAGAATGTGGAGAATTGCTTTCAGGTAGTAGAGAGTTTCACATGAGAACTTACAGATTCAAGAGTAACCAGTAACATTCTTGACATCCCGTTTTGCCTATACAAGTCCCGAGTTCCAATGAAAGGCATCTCAGCCAAATCGGTCCCGTGCACCCTGCAGAAGCACGGAACAAACATTTCAAGTTAACCACATCCTACATACGTATTTTGTTGATAGTTACCCAAAGAACAACATGTGTAATTTGTTTCCGAAAAATGAAGATACCTTATAGTTGCAGCTGAAATGATGTCATCGTTCTTCTCCAGGATCGCAGTATAAAAGCCTCGAAAATTTATCCTGTTGAGGTTCGATCTGAAAAGACAGAAATATCAGTCTTTATTTCTTGGATTTTTCATATGTTTTGACTTTTGAGAAATTCTTTATGAACGTAAATAGCAAAAGTGATCATGTTATAGAGAAGTTCTTGCATCAGTATGTATATGACACAACATGTAAAACAAAAGAAAAAATGTTACGAGGCTGGTAAGTATTAAACAGCCGTATGTCCACAATTGTACGAGGAGCTTAAACATAAATACAATGGGAAAAAGGCACAGCTCTGCAAAATCTATAAGCGCTCACCCTCGACTATAAGCCACACTCTGAACTACATTGATCTGCGTATGCCGATCAATGATTGTCGTGAAACATTCGTCCAGCACCTCCCAGGCCAATGCAATTTTTGAATTGCATTCGGTGATTAAATGAAGATCCTTGAAGTCCAAGTTGTCTGGCTCCATCCGTTGGAGGAGAGTCCAACAGAACCCTCCTTCTAACTCATGCTTCACACCTACGAGGCTCTGAAGCTTCTCATAAACCTATGAATAAAGCTCATGATCAATTCAAATCTCAAGTTGACAAGTCTTAAATGTTAATATGTTGGGTTAATCTTACATATTCTTAACGATGAAATGGTAATTGTTAAGGAAATTGAAGAAAAGCTAATTGTGTTGAAATGTATACCTCTCCGCAGTGAGAATCACATGCTAAGGTTTCGCCACTGGCATTAAGATCCAACTCCTTACTGCTAACTAAACACTGGCAATGATCTATGACAGCAAAGGATACAGCTTCATTTGTTACTACAAGAATTGAGAATCTTTATAAAAAATAATCAGTAAATTATAGGAAAGTACGTACATTTTTTATCACATTGAACGCAAGTTTGCAGGTCTTTGTCGTTTTCATTACAGTGCTTGCACACACAGTAGGGACAAATCCATTCTCCTTGGGGAATCCTCTGTGATTAATAAAAAATTGAAAAATTTACATTAAAAACAGAGGAGCAATGATTTTTACTTCGAAAAAAACTTATCATGTCAAGAAAATTTACTTACTTCCAATCCCATACATTTGAGATGGGAAGTGGACCAACACTTTTCGCAACAGATCAGGTCCCCTCCATCTGCACAAATCAGGCAAGCATCATCATGTTTATCGGAGGCGCCATTACGGGGAACAATCTCATTAAAGGTGCGCCGCTCGACCTCTACATTGCTCTGCCAAACTTCAAACTGACACTGCAAGAGAGAGCTGTTGCTTCGAGCAACATGGATATGTTCATATGGCCTTTGTAAAACACTCCCGGCATGGGTCTCAAAATCCCACACTGT